ACTAACTAACTAACTAACTAACTAACTAACTAACTAACTACCTAACTAACTACTAACTAACTAACTAACTAACTAAAACTAACTAACTACTAACTACTAACTAACTAACTACTAACTAACTAACTAACTAACACTAACTAACTACTACTAACTACTACTAACTAACTAACTAACTAACTAACTAACTAACTAACTAACTAACTAACTAACTAACTAACTACTAACTACTAACTAACTAACTAACTAACTAACTAACTAACTACTAACTAACTACTAACTACTAACTAACTACTAACTAACTAACTAACTAACTAACTAACCACTAACTAACTACTAACTAACTAACTACTAACTAACTAACTACTAACTAACTAACTAACTAACTAACTAACTAACTAACTAACTAACTAACTACTAACTAACTAACTAACTAACTAACTACTAACTACTAACTAACACTAACTAACTACTAACTAACTAACTAACACTAACTAACTAACTAACTACCTACTAACTAACTACTAACTAACTACTACTAACTAACTAACTAACTACTAACTAACTACTACTAACTAACTAACTAACTAACTAACTAACTAACACTAACTAACTACAACTAACTAACTACTAACTAAACTACTAACTAACTAACTAACTAACTAACTAACTAACTAACTAACTAACTACTAACTACTAACTACTACTAACTACTAACTAACTACTAACTAACTAACTAACTAACTAACTAACTAAAACTAACTAACTAACTACTACTACTACTACTAACTAACTAACTAACTAACTACTACTAACTAACTAACAACTACTACTCACTAACTAACTACTACTAACTAACTAACTAACTAACTAACTAACTAAACTACTAACTAACACTAACTAACTACTAACTACTAACTACTAACTCTAACTAACTAACTACTAACTACTAACTAACTAACTACTAACTACTACTAACTAACTACTAACTACTAACTAACTAACTAACTAACTAACTAACTAAATAACTTAACTAACCTAACTAACTAACTAACTAACTAACTAACTAACTAACTAACTAACTAACTAACTAACTAACTAACTAACTAACTAACTACTAACTAACTAACTAACTAACTAACTAACTAACTAACTAGATAACTAACTAACTAATGAAACTTACTTATAGATCTTACTGATTGCAAACGTGTAGACTCAAAATCACTTTCTGAATCAATTAAGACAGGTCCTTCGCATGAAAAAACGTATACAGCTTCCATATCTTCACTGCTAAGATAACTAATGAGTTAGAAAGTATTTATATAACACATTATTAGTAAGGCCTTATTAGACTACTTCTATGTAATCCAGATGATATGTAGTAGTCATTGAAAAGTATGTTGTTAGGTAAGTAATTACAATTGAAAGCCATTACCTAGTTTTTGCTGGGAAGTTATGAATAATTTTTTGTGGAAGTAAAAATTTAAAATTTTTTTCCAACAAATCCTTATTCTAACTTTTCCAAATCCATAAAATTTCTCTCCGTGCATTTCTTATTTTCTACGCATTAATTCAAAGCACGTTTTCTTAAGGTTTTATTTTTCACCAACTACAACATTTAGGCGCCTTTTGACGTCAGTTTTTATTTGAAAACTTCTACAAAGTACGCATTGCTATTTCTTAAAAGCAAAGAACATTGAAACAAACAACTAACAGCGAACAACACCATCTTCTCACCCAACAACACCTGATTGAGGAGTTACAACAACTACAGCAAATATGCATGTCTTTGCGAACAAAACAAAACTGTTGTGCGAACATGTACTTTACAACACAAATCGATTTTACACATAAGAAACAATATCGAAAATGGTGGAAAAAAAATCGATAAAAAAAAAAAACTTTAAAGAAAATGCCTTAGAAAAGTTACATAAAAATAAAATCGTTTTAAAACTGCACAACTGCAACTACATGATAATGTGCAAAATTTACAGAATAGAATTGTAATGAGAAATACTACACTAACAGCAAAAAAAATCCTTATTAAATAACGGTCAATGTTTTTAGTACCATGCAAATCCATTGAAATACTTTTTTCTAGCAAACAGAACATGATCACCATTGGCCAAACACAGCCGACACTATTCAGACAAGTACAAGAAATGAACTTACATTTGAACATTGCAAAGTTGATAATGGTTGGAATGAGGAGGGGAGATAAAATGCGTGTTTTAATCATTTTATAATAATTGAACTTTTTCTCTTTCTTTCGTTTGTTTTTCTTTTCAGTTCGTAAGTATGTGTTTTTTTTTTTTTTGTTAGTGTAAGTTAGTACGAGTACTCGTACTAATAATGGCTTTTTATTGCCGCAATGCGATAAAATGTTTAAATCGTGATATTATAAAAATAAATGTTTAAATTATGGTTAGTGTTGGAAGAATAATAAAATCCCCTTTTTCCAAATCGGAACGGTATATAATTTACATAATTTCTAGTACAGGATCGTAGGATTTTTTTAACCACAATGTTAACGTCAACGTTATATTTAAACTCCTAACGAATACTACCGATCTGCGATCTTATACCAATTCAGTTCTAACACAAAATCGCCCAATTTTGGTCCAAGATTAAAAGCTCCTCTACCACGCAGGCTGAGGGTTGTGAAAATTGCCAAGATCTTCAGCAATCTATGATCTTCAGACTACTTTGGATTCTCCTTCACAGATCTCGAGATAGCCACGATTTACTCAGTCGATATGCAATCCTTCTACGTCATTATCTATAATGATTCATTTAGAACTGCTCGATCTGGATATAATATCTTATAACAGTAAATTTAGAATTTGACTCCTGAACGTTATCAGTACTGGCTAATGGACCGTCTTAGGTCCCACAACATCCTTGTTGTAGCAGCCCTTGCAATCGGCATCTTCTCAATTTTGAAGATGACAGCTTTAGAGGCAAAATAGGTTCTACCATTGCATTCAGCAATCTATGATCTTCAGACTACTTTGGATTCTCCTTCACAAATCTCGAGATAGCCACGATCTTCATTCCTTCTACATCATTATCTATAATCATTCATTTAGAACTGCTAGATCTGGATATAAGATCTTATAACAGTAAATTTAGGATTTGACTCCTGAACGTTATCAGTACTGGCTAATGGACCGTCCTAGGTCCCACAACATCCTTGTTGTAGCAGCCCTTGCAATCGGCATCTTCTCAATTTTGAAGATGACAGCTTTAGAGGCAAAATAGGTTCTACCATTATTCTTGACAAGACTAGCCATCGTGTTTTGGTTTATACCTATTACAAGTAAAGGGAACTCTACTTGTTATTATTCTTTCCTATCCACCACCTGGATAACAATCTTGCCGCGATGTGGTGGCTTTAGTGTTGGCTGTGGTTCTTTTGCATTGCAAATACACTCGGCATAAGCCCTTTGTATTTGGAAGACACTGAACTCAAAAGCCTTCATGACCAAAGGTTATCCCTCCTATCCTCAATTCCCAATTTTTCCTATAAACAATCCCGTCTCCTCCCCATCCCCATCCCCCACTTGTAAGGTTAAGGTGGTTGGTAGCAGTGCCGAGAATCTGAATGGCTAATCAGTGGTTAAAGAAGATTAGTCGCTAACAGCTCCCCTCCGGTGCCACGACACGGGCCGGTTGTAAATCCTAGTCTAGTCCATGTACGCCGTCACTGCATGGACCGTCTCTTCCCTTACGTGCCTACTCGTGGGACCAACATATGGAAACTAATACAGAAAAAAAACAAAAACAAAAACAACGAAGAAAGGATGAGATTGGATCCTCATCCGAAGACGAACTTCTCGCCTCTAGTCAAGAGACGGTAGTGAGTCCTTCAGGTAGTGGGAATGAAAGACATAGCACTCTCCTACCCTCAAAAAGCCCGACAAATACTCCTCAATCCGACGCCAAGGCTGGCGACAATTCGAGGAAAAAAAGGCCAAAAAGGAAAAGTCAGAAAGACATCCTCAAAGCTAGATATACCAAGGCTGTTTTCATTCTCGACAAGATTGCCAAGAATGCTGCTAATGGTACTCCTCATGAACGCGATGAAGATGATCGCGTCAAATATCAAGCTGTGGTGGATGAGTACCAAAAGTCTTTGGAGACCGCACCCAGCACATCCAAAATGGCTGCTGAAATCGAAAGGTCCAAGCGAAACCGCTCACAGGTTGAGGATGGTAAATCGCCGAAAAGGAGGAAGGTAATAGAAGGCAAAGCCACTCCGGGACCTGTAGCCATCACGACAACTGCCAGAAGACCATTTAACGAAGTGGTGAAGGACCACCTCCTAATGGCTCTGGTTACTGAAAAAGATGGGGCCATCAACCCTGTAGTAACAGAATGGGGTGCCATTGAGTCTAAATTAACTGAGCTCGTTATGGAACACTTGCTCACTAACAAAGACGACAAGGTACCCCGTTTTGACTCCAGTGAGATTCACCGGGGATACAGGGTGATCAAATGCCTGGACGAATTCTCAAAGGGGTTCCTCAACAAATGCATCACTAAGATTAGAGATGCATGGGTAGGTTTAAGCCTTAAACTAATCCCTGCTGAGGAAATTCCAATGAGACCTCGTGCAAGAGTTTGGTTACCAAAGATGAGCGCCGAAGCACCCAAGATGTTGGAATGCCTCAAACGGCAGAATCCCAACATACACATGAATGACTGGGCTATCATCCGCACAGAACAAGGCGAAGGGCACACATGTCTAATTCTCGCCATCACAGAAGCTGGCTCCGTTGAGCTGGAGAAGGTGGGCTTTAGGCTGTTCTTTGGGGTGAGGGGCGCCAAAGTAAAGGTGTTCCGGCCGACAAAATCGGGGAGTGAAGAGACGGATGAGATGGAAGCTGCCAACTCTCTGCTCACTGGCATGAAACTCTCCGAGCCACCTGATAAACCTGACAATGGCACTAAAGATAGTGCAAATTAATCTGAAGCACTCAAAGTGTGCTTCAGACAATCTACGGGTTCTCCTAGCCGAGGAAAACCTGGACATTTGCCTGGTTCAAGAACCCTGGGTCACGGACTCAGAAGTTAAAGGGTTCCCAGCATCTACATACAACATACTATATGCAAGAAGTAATGGTAGGCCACGATCATGTCTAATTGCTAAAAAATCGATTAACATTTTTCTTTGTACACAGCTTAGCTCAGAAGACCTAACAGTCGCAAAGGTCGAGCTACCGCACAACAGAAGCTTCATGATTGCCTCAAGCTATATGGCACACGAGAAGACAGCACCACCAGACGAAGTGAGCGATCTCCTGGCCGTAATTGAGACATCTGACGACATAATCCTAGGCTGTGATGCCAATGCAAGGCATACAATCTGGGGTAGCAGCGAAACTAATGAAAGGGGTGAGTCAATCTTTAATTTCATTAATACTAACAACCTAAACATATGTAACTCTGGCAACAAACCTACATTCATTTTTCCAAGTACGGATAATTATAATGGGTGGGAGGAAGTACTGGACATTACACTCATTAGCGACAGATCTAAAATATCAGTTGATAGGTGGAGGGTATCCAATGAAAAATCTTTTTCAGATCACAATTGGATCCTCTTCGATATTATATTACAAAACTCGACGGAAAAAATGGTCTATAGGAACCCAAGAAGAACCGATTGGTTCAAGTATAAAGGGATCCTTAGACATAAGCTCAAGAAAACTCCAGTGGTTGATGATTCAATCACTGGGCTTGAAAAGATAGAAGAACACTTTAGCAAAGTCTTAGGTAAGGCTTTCGAAGTCTCCTGCCCAATCACAAAGGCAAAGAAAAGCTTCCCTCCATGGTGGAATTCGGAACTATCTAAGCTACGTAAGGAAACACGTAGGGCCTTTAACACATGCTACAACAATAAATCGTGGCAGCCATACCGCGACAAACTAAAAGTTTATAAGAAAGCTATAGCACTCGCAAAAAGAACCTCATGGAGAAGTTTCTGCGAATCTATAGATAACACAAAGGATTCTGCTAGACTTAGCAAAATTCTTGCTAAAGGCCAATCTAATCCAACCTATATTAAGAGGAAGGACGACACTTGGTCAGAATCCTCGGCAGAATCTCTTGACATCCTACTGAATACTCACTTCCCTGGCTGCAAAGATGCTGTCAAGGAAATCTTCACTGACAGTAGGACTCTAACGGGAATCAATGAAAATATCATCTCTTATGATAGAATCTCATGGGCGATTGATAGTTTTTCCCCTTTCAAATCACCAGGGCCTGATGGCATTTTGCCAAAGATGTTACAAAGTGCAAAAGAATATATCATCCCCTGGCTTCATAGAATATACACGCTCAGCCTCTCTCTCAACCATGTTCCGGTAAACTGGAGAAAGGTTAAGGTCGTTTTTATTCCCAAAGCTGGCAAAAGGAGTCATGAAAATGCGAAGGACTTTCGTCCAATTAGTCTTTCATCTTTTCAACTCAAAACGCTGGAAAGACTCATCGACTCACATATTAGGCAACGGCTAGAGAGCTCATCACGGCTTTCAACCAGTCAACATGCCTACCTTAAAGGACGATCTACTGAGACAGCTCTACATGAGGTTGTAAGAGTTATAGAAAGATCCCTCGAATTCAAACAATACACTATGGGAGCCTTCTTAGACATAGAAGGTGCCTTCAATAACGTAAATACTTCTGCAATTCAACAAGCTCTCGCTAATCTGGATGTTGAAGAATATATCAGCAACTGGTTGGTAACTATGTTGAAATCTAGAATAATTACTGCAAGTCTTGGTAATAGCGTTAAGTCCAAACGAGTTGAACGAGGCACACCTCAGGGCGGTGTAATCTCTCCACTACTTTGGCTTATCGTTGTTAATACGATTCTTAAGGAACTGGACAACAGAGGGATAAAGGTCGTTGCCTATGCGGACGACGTTGTGATACTGGTATCAGGAATGTTCCCAGACGTGATTAGCGATATTATGTCTGGTGCTCTGGTGCTACTCAGTAACTGGGCCACAGACAGTGGTCTAGGAGCAAATCCAAGCAAGACAGAACTGGTACTATTCACAACAAAGACCAAGATTCCAAGCTTCAACCTGCCACGGTTAAAAAACCGCGAAATCCCCTTATCAAACAATGCCAAATATCTAGGAACTATTCTAGACTCCAAATTATCATGGAAACTCAACATCCAGCACAGAGTCAAGAAGGCAACGGTCGCCTACTATACCTGTCGTAAGATGTTTGGAATGAAATGGGGACTTAGTCCCAACATAGTTAAATGGATGTACACAGCTATAGTACGTCCTATTCTTACATACGGATCTCTTGTATGGTGGACTTCAACTAAGAAGAAGTTTGTTGTGGATCAACTATACAAAGTTCAGAGATCAGCATGCATTGGGATAACAGGTGCTATAAGAACTAGTCCTTCAGAAGCTCTGAACACTATATTGCACATCCTACCCATAGATCTGCACATAATGACCATATCTGCTTGTAGCGCAGTAAGACTTAACTCATCCGGAAGTTGGATATCAAGAACATATGGACACGCTAAGATTTTAAGCTTGTTACCTCCAATCTTGAACCAACCATCCGACTATATTACCCCACACACGGACTTTGATAGAGTCTTCAAAGTCAGAGTTCCTTCCAGGAGCGAGTGGTGTAGAGGTAATCTACCGAGCGAATATACCACCAGAATCTTTACAGATGGTTCTAAAATGAACTGCGGCGTTGGTTCTGGTGTCTTTTGTGAAGAAGCTGGGGTAAGTATATCCCATCGTCTTCCCAACAACTGTAGTGTCTTTCAGGCTGAAATTTTTGCGATAATGTCAGCCTGTAGGGTATTACATGACCTCAATATTCGCGGCAACATAGGAATCTTTGTCGATAGTCAAGCGGCACTTCTCTCACTAAACTCTTATACTACTACTTCCTTATTAGTCAGACAATGCAAGAAGGATCTGTCAATGCTGGGTCGACTGTCTGACATTACCCTTGTTTGGGTCCCTGCGCATAGGGACTACTACGGTAATGAACAGGCAGATGAGCTTGCAAGAACGGGATCTGCTCTTGATATCTCCGACGCCGTTCCAGTAGCAACTCCGTTAAGTTATATCAAGAGCAATATCCTCAGATTCTTTCTTCAAAAAGCTGAAAATAGGTGGAATAACCTAGACACATGTAAAGGGGCCAAGCTATTGTGGCCCTCCTTCAATGAGAAACGCACAAGACACCTTATAAACCGAAGTAGGCGGGACATATCGAGGCTGATAGCAGTAATAACAGGACACTGGGTAATAGGCAGACACGCAAGTCGGCTTGGGCTCCCTTTCAATGATCACTGTCGCAGTTGCAAAGACAGGGAAAAGGAAGAAACGGTCTTCCATCTCCTCTGTGAATGCCCTGCTCTGGCCGTAAAGAGAAACCGCTTCCTTGGCAATTACTTCATATCTAACCTTGGCGAGATATCCGTCTTTAGGCTTAATGATATCCTCAGATTTCTCACAGCTACGGGCTGGATCTAATACTACAAATTCAACATCTGACGAGTGGAGTGGTCCGGTCAAAACGGAGTCTCTTTGATTCTACTTGACAGTTCGCGTGTAGTGAACTACCACGTAAACCAACCAACCAATTCTTTCCTATGGAAGGCAACTCATTTTTCTAAGGCCAGTTCAGCATTTTGGAATCCAAAAAATGGCAATATACATACGCTCATTAGCCAGTTAATAGCACATCCATTTATCTAGACAGTGGATTTAAGATCACCAGAAGATCCATCTTTTTTACCATTCCCAGACAAGCGCCAGGGAGGGGGGATACTTTCCACCAATTTCTTCAGGGTGCCAGCATATTGGTCAGATGTCAAACTCATCAAAATCACGCCCATACTGAAATCGCCGACCATGCTCTCCATTGGTTGTTTACCCTTTGACGCGATTGCGTGATCCACTATCTTATTGTTGACCAGATCTTCTACCTTACTCTACTGATCTATTGAAGTTTTGCCTGATTACCCTTTGAAGCGTCCAATATTGGAATTTTGACTGTTGGATTATCGGCATCGTATACTGCATAATAGAGTTCGTCCTGGTGTCTTCTCTTAGCAATTTTGGCGTAAGATGGCGATTCTTTTCCTTCTATCCATAATCTAGCTTTTCCTTTATCGATTTTTGGGCTTCTTTTGTAGATACCCTTACCAACGGGGTTGTCAAGTCAGAATTCTTTACTTACAGGATTCTGACTTAAGGTTCCTTTGAGGGATGTATGGCTTGGCTTGGACTCTATATTAGAATACACAGAACTCTTTTTCTTCTTAGGTTTATTCTCAGACTATTTGGAAGACCTGTTCCTCCTTGAATATTGACTGTTGGATTACCGTATATCATATACTGCATAACAGAGATCGTCCCGATCTACGTCTTCGGAGACGTATTCATTTTCGGAATAACTGGCGTTATCACCTTTACTCACAGGATTTTGACTAAATATGGAGAGCTCTGTTTCTTCTTAGGTTTATTTTAATTTGTCAGCGCCTCGGAAGACCTGCTCCTCTTTCCCTCAGAAGAATCCGATTTTTACTTTGGAATTTTGTGGGATTGACTCGCTATGATTTTCTCAAACTTCCTTATCGGTGCTTCAGAAAGCCATTTTTGAGTAATATGTAGTTTAGCTATACTATAACTCACCTCTTTCTCCGTTTTCTCTATTTCATCCTTTTTAGGATTCGCTATGATGTTGTTGTTATTATCATCTGACAATTCTGAGTCGAAACCCTCACCAATGTTCATAGACTGAAACAGCTTAGAGCCTTCACCAAGTACATCCTTCTCTTTCAGCGCTATGTTTTTGCCAATGGTATGCTGATTTCCAGGGGAATACAAGATTCCCAGATGGGTCACAGTCTGCTCTCCCTCAGCTTAAGTTGAACTATAGCTGGGGGAAGACAGATTGACCATCACAACCCTCTACCCGCCACCGGGGGAAGCTCTCGTTAGGAAAAATTCCCCGATGCTAAATATACCTAGTTTAGATCATTGAAAGTCCGAGTTCCATAAGAGAACGGACTGCTTTTGGTTCTCTTTCACATATTCCGAGATAATAGGGATTAAAACTTTGAGCTCATGCGACAAAATTCTATGCAAAACTTATGAGGTTTTGATCTTCAATGTCGAATGTTATCGTACACAGCTTTCTTAAACGATCAACAATACAGTGCGAATGGAAAACTTTCCAAGTTCAAAGGTATAAGCATAGATTCTTGTTTCAGTGCAGGTTCAAGTTTTAATGCGATATTTACCAAGTTCAGATCTTTGAAAGTTCGAAATTCCTGAAAAGTATTGAAAGCTTTGGTTCTACATACTCTTACTCCGGAATTTTGGATATATGCC